TATATTTCTTTTTGTTTAATATAAACAGTTTTTCAGTGGCTTGTATGAAAAAAAGAAGCGTCACGTTGAGCCTCCAGTTAGAAAAAAGAAAAAGGAGAAGAATTATCACAGATTTCAAACAGGAACAAAAGAAGGGGGTAAAACAGGTAAAAGTCCAACAGGTAAATTCATTCTCTTTTTACAAATATTTACAAATGTTACCTGTACAGAAAAAAACTTTCCTTTTCTTTCCCTTTTTTTTAAATCTCAGTATTTCTACCTGTTTTTTTTCCACGGTTTTACAGTCCAGGGCTGCTTTTTGATTTGTGCTCTTCACCCCTCACGGTTATAACGTCTTTAGATAAAAAAATAAAAGAGTATTTATTTTGTCCCCTCTCTCTGGGAGCACAGTCACTGTGAAGGCCATTTGGACACGGCCGCCGCCGTGGCTGAAGGTAAAACGTGTCCAGAGAGCAGGTTGGASGGGACGCTGAGGATGGGCGCGATGGCAGCGGAGCTCCGGCTCAGAGAGAGGGACTGCGCGCTCAGCAGGGCCGACTGAACCGTCACCGGAGGCCGCAGGAAGGCCTGGACCGAGCCCGGGGAGGACGACGGGGCGCTGGAGACGCCGATGATGTTCTCGATGCTGAAGGACGGCCGGTTGGACGGCTCCGACTTGATCATGGACGCCGTGCTCAGGCTGTTGAGCTGCAGCTGCAGGCTCGGGCCGAGCTGCGCGCTGAACGCTTTCCGGTTCAGCTCCGCCGAGGGCAGCAGCGGGACCCCCGGGGGCAGCATGGGGCCCACGGGTGGGATGTACGGGTACTGCAGAGCCGCCGGGTGGGAGTAGGCGGCCGGGTGGATCCCGTAGTGCCTCCCGTAGGGGCCTCCGAGGCTGTACGCCCCAAAGCTCTGCATCATGAGCGCGGTCTGGTCCCGGAGCAGCTCCGGCTGGACCCGCTTGAACCGTTTCCTCCTCCGCAGGAAGCTGCCGTTGTCGAACATGTCCTCGGAGGCCGGGTCCAGGGTCCAGTAGTTGCCCTTCCCGGGGTTCCCGGGTTCCCGGGGGATTTTAACGAAGCAGTCATTGAGGGACAGGTTGTGCCGGATGGAGTTCTGCCACGCCGGGAACTTCTCCCGGTAATACGGGAAGCGGTTGCTGATGAACTCGCAGATGCCGCTCAGGGTSAGYTTCTTCTGCGGGCTCTGCAGGATGGCCATGGTGATGAGGGCGATGTAGGAGTAGGGCGGTTTCACCAGGCTGTTCTTGGGCTTCTGCAGCGCTCCTCCCGGCGCCGCGCTCTGCTCCTGACCCTCTCCCTTATTACCGCCGCCGGTGCCCGGCTCTCCCTCCCCGGAGCTCTCGCAGCACGGGCTCCCGCCGCCGGAGCGCATCTCCTCCTCCTCCTCCTCCTTCTCCACCTCGATCTCGTCGTCCTCCAGGAGGTCGTGGTCCCCGCGCAGGTCGCGCAGGATGCCCCCGGGGCTGTCGCAGTCGCTGTCCGCCCTCTCCACGCCCTCCTCGTCTCCCTCGCCCACCACGTCGATGTCCACGTCCTCCGCCGTGAGCACGGTTTGACCCGACATGTCGCTGGCTCGATCGCTGCCTCCAGACAGGGTCATCTCACGGCTTCCTCACACTTTTAGGTGGAAAAAAAAGAAAGCAACAAAACAAACACTCCAAACAAACTTACAGTCGGAGCGCAGARGGGCGCGCGGTGCGGAGGAGACCCTGCGCGGCCGGTGCGCACACACACACCGTGGCTCTGCTCGGCAAGAGATCGGGTGTCTCCCAGAGTCTAAGGTGCCAACCAGAGTCCTGCCAACTTCTGCAAATACCCCCCCGCCCCCAACTCGGAGCAGGCCCCGTGGAGCTGCGCGTTCTGCCTGGAAGTTGCTCGGAGACCCCTTCTTCTTCTCTCTCTCTTTTTGCGCTCCGACGTCCTAAACGCGAGATATTCGGAAGCCGATTTGACACATGCTGCTTTGGAAGGCTTTTAACTGGACTGTCTGATAG